TTACACATCCTATCTCTAAGTCACATATATCACAACCTAGCTCTAAGCCACATATATCACAGCCTATCTCTAAGCCACATATATCACAGCCTAGTTCTAAGCCACATATATCACAGCCTAGCTCTAAACCACATATATCACAGCCTAGCTCTAAGCCACATATATCACAGTCTAGCTCTAAGCCACATATATCACAGCCTATCTCTAAGCCACATATATCACAACCTAGCTCTAAGCCACATATATCACAACCTAGCTCTAAGCCACATATATCACAGCCTAGCTCTAAGCCACAAATATCACAGCCTAGCTCTAAGCCACATATATCACAACCTAGCTCTAAGCCACATATATCACAGCCTATCTCTAAGCCACATATATCACAACCTAGCTCTAAGCCACATATATCACAACCTATTTCTAAGCCACATATATCACAACCTAGCTCTAAGCCACATATATCACAACCTAGCTCTAAGCCACATATATCACAGCCTAGCTCTAAGCCACATATATCACAGCCTAGCTCTAAGCCACATATATCACAACCTAGCTCTAAGCCACATATATCACAGACTAACTCTAAGCCACATATATCACAACCTAGCTCTAAGCCACATATATCACAGCCTATCTCTAAGCCACATATATCACAACCTAGCTCTAAGCCACATATATCACAACCTAGCTCTAAGCCATATATATCACAGCCTAGCTCTAAGCCACATATATCACAGCCTAGCTCTAAGCCACATATTACATATCCTAGCTCCAAGTCACATATTACACATCCTATCTCTAAGTCACATATATCACAACCTAGCTCTAAGCCACATATATCACAGCCTATCTCTAAGCCACATATATCACAGCCTAGCTCTAAACCACATATATCACAGCCTATCTCTAAGCCACATATATCACAGCCTAGCTCTAAGCCACATATATCACAGCCTATCTCTAAGCCACATATATCACAGCCTATCTCTAAGCCACACATATCACAGCCTATCTCTAAGCCACATATATCACAGCCTATCTCTAAGCCACATATATCACAGCCTAGCTCTAAGCCACATATATCACAGCCTAGCTCTAAGCCACAAATATCACAGCCTAGCTCTAAGCCACATATATCACAACCTAGCTCTAAGCCACATATATCACAGCCTATCTCTAAGCCACATATATCACAACCTAGCTCTAAGCCACATATATCACAACCTATCTCTAAGCCACATATATCACAACCTAGCTCTAAGCCACATATATCACAACCTAGCTCTAAGCCACATATATCACAGCCTAGCTCTAAGCCACATATATCACAGCCTAGCTCTAAGCCACATATATCACAACCTAGCTCTAAGCCACATATATCACAGCCTATCTCTAAGCCACATATATCACAACCTAGCTCTAAGCCACATATATCACAGCCTATCTCTAAGCCACATATATCACAGCCTATCTCTAAGCCACATATATCACAGTTTAGCTTTAAGCCACATATATCACAGCCTAGCTCTAAGCTACATATATCACAGTTTAGCTTTAAGCCACATATATCACAGCCTATCTCTAAGCCACATATATCACAACCTAGCTCTAAGCCACATATATCACAGCCTAGCTCTAAGCCACATATATCACAGCCTATCTCTAAGCCACATATATCACAGCCTAGCTCTAAGCCACATATATCACAACCTAGCTCTAAGCCACATATATCACAGCCTAGCTCTAAGCCACATATATCACAGTTTAGCTTTAAGCCACATATATCACAGCCTAGCTCTAAGCCACATATATCACAACCTACCAGTAGCAAATAAATTTGTTGTGATGGAATAGTTTTTCAGGTGTCTGTAAAAGTTGTTAGTCAGCTTGAGTAGCTTGTTTAAGAGCCTATAGTTTTTGTTAGCCAATGCCTAGGCTGAGTAGTTAATGTTGCATGTGGCTTTTACATTTGTTTGGTAATATACAACTTTATATAGGACTATTCAACTGGTGGTCCAGGGATTGCCTGCCAATTGTATTGTGTCAATGATCTTTCTATGCTGGGGCTCGGCCACTGTCCCAAGATAATCCCTGTTTTCCACCATTTTGGCCCCTGAATTTACCCCCAAAAAACCAGAAAATAGTAAAGGACCATATTCCACGCCTTCAGGCATATAGGGCTAGACCTATATTTTATAGATCAGTCAGCACAAGATGGGTGATGTGGTCAGCACCACGCTGGCCACTTTTACTTTCCGGGACTGCACCCGGTACCGACTCAAGGCTGGGTCGACCTGGAAGCCAAGGTCAATTTTTTAAAAAGTCCAGCTCCACCAGGGAGCGAGCCCACAACCTTCCGATCCACGCCGCTGAATAAAGTTAGTTGAATTGTCCTGCTAAACATTATCATCATCCTATTGTGCTGGGGCGTTGTAATTCGCTTTGTTATTGCCAATGCACTATGTGCAGTCTACTGAAAATACTAGAAGATAATTATTCTTCTACTCTGTACAAGACCTCACTCACACAAAGACGTAAACAGAGGGAATCGTAAACAGTGAAACATCCTACAAGATTATCTTTCTCCCAACCTTGCTGGTTAAAGGAAAAGTTTTGGGGTTTGCCCACATCTGATTCCCCACTGTTAATAAATTGTATATTTAAATGTACTAAAGTATACTATCTATTGTTCACTGACATATAAATTATGGTTAAAATGAACTCCACAAAACTGAAATGATAATTAACATCTATGACATTTAATCTGGAAAAGTCAGATTATAGAAATTCATGGGGATATATAAAAGAAGGTCCCTCCCGGATTTACATTGGACTGATCTGTCCACTCATCTGTTGTTAGTACTCCTTGGGTCAGCTTCTGGGGACACTTGAGGCAGGTGAAATCTTCTAGTCCAGTTTGACATCTGCAGCTACTCCCACCTGGATCTCCACCTGGAACTAGAGCAATTTAACATTCCCTGTAGAAGCAGTTGACAAAGTTCTGACCGAAGGCCACAATGACTTCAGTCCTCATATATTGTTACACTACACACATATGGAGTAGGGTAGTAACATGTTTTCACATTCTTGAATGAGGTATAGAATGATGTATACCAAACAGAATCTATATTCCTCATGGAAGGAATATTCCATCCACATCAGTTTCTCAAGAATATTTCCGAGAACAAGAGTTTAATGTCGCTGAGAGAGAAAATATTTCTGCTCTCTTTACATTACTAGTACCTCTTTCACGGGTTAACATGCTTACACACACAGTCATATTTCAAAAGGTATTCTCAGTTCAACCACATGGGTTTACTTCACAGAGAATGAGAATCATGGGTGTGAATCTCATAACAGGTGTGTTGCACAGTTTGAAAATGATTGGCATTGGCCATATCTCAATCAGTATAACTGGGTGTTAGGACAGAAATCATAACAAATGATAGATGACAATGGGTTTCTCATCTGTCAAATTATTAACATAAAATATTCAACACTAACTCCAGTTTAACTGTGAATGAATACCTTCGCTAAATCTTATTTAGTAGAGTTAAGAAGCTGGTAAGTAAAAAGGGTAAAGATAAAGGACCCTTTTTTTCACGCCTTTAAGCGTATAGGGAAAATAGGGCTAGACCTATATTTTATAGACCAATCGGCACAAGATGGGTGATATGGTCAGCATCACACCATCCGACTCTACTTCCTGGGACTGCACCCGGTACCCATTCAAGGCTGTGTCGACTTGGGAGCCAAGGTCATTTTTTTTTAAAAGGTCTGGCTCCGCCAGGGTGGAGAACCCACGACCTTCTGATACGCAGCGAGCTTCTAGCCGTCCACCACAGTGACTCCCAAGCTGGTAAGGGTGAAATATAATTATTAAAATCTTGAGGCTAGATGCAGTGCTACTGAAAATATGTTCCTAGTAATATGGAATTATTTATTACAATAATTATTACAAACTTACTTTATACTACTACAAACCAAATGCAGTAAATGTTTTTTGTGACTACTTTCTACTGTAAAAAGTAAAGAAACATGCCTACTTTCTGAGATCTTCTTTTTACCAGGGTGTGAATGTTTCATTTCAATTACCTTTTATGTGCGGAGAATGGAGACTGAGAAGCAAAAATGTAATTCATAATCTGTTTAAATCACCATTGGTCACTGGCATCATGAGAGCTGATAGACTGAAATGACTGGGGCATATTGAGAGAATGTCAGATGACATACAGGTAAAAACTGTATACACAAGGTAGTTGAATGGTCATAGACCATGAGGCAGAGCAAGATGACGAGGGAGAGATAATATCCAGGCAGACCTGCAAACACTTGGGTCAAATAGAAAAAGAAGGCCAACCAGAGAGGTGAATGGAGGCAGGTGATATCTTCAGCATTGAAGCTCAAAGGCTAGGAATGATGAAGAAGAAGAAGAATTATCTTATATTATCATCTAAAATATTTGGATAGTTCCTGTTTCTGCTTTATACAGTCTCAAACAAAATGTGAATATTTTATGTTGACCACATACTATGACAAATTTAAGCAGAATTTTAGTGAAAACTTTGTGTTATGACATTGTGAAGTGTAGCAGCAACCACCAGGTTTGACCATACAACTAAATATGGTCAGAGAGGTAAATGTTTTGCTCAGCTGAACTCTGATGAACCAGGACTACTGCATTGCGAAGTCACTACATTGTCCTCTAGGCTTAAAAAGCTCTTAACTGAGAGAAATGAAAGTAAGCCTTTTTTCTTTTATTTTTAACTTCTTCCCATCTTGGATTTTATGTTGAAGGGTTCTAAACTATGAACATCCAGTGACTCAAAGAGTAACTGTTCATATGAGAAAACAAAAGAGCAAATTCCAGAAATCCTGCTCAACCATGTAACACTGTTATATTAGGCACCCAATGGTTTGGGGTAACCTGCAGTCCAGTTTGGTTGAGTTGTCCTTGATAAATGAAAAGTTCCTGCTTCTTGTTACAGCGGCGAGTGGAGATGGAGAAAGAGATGGCTGAACAGTTTGCTGCTGCCCAAGGAATGCCACCAATGGTGAACATCTGTCCGCCGTCTCCACAGAACAATGAAGAGAACAAGACAGCAAACTTTAACTAGTGAGTTTTCTTCTGCATGTGTAGTGTGGCTTCTTTGGTGAGTGTCTGCACCTTTGGTGAGTGTTTGCTTCATTAGTTAGTTCTTGTTTCCCTTGTGAATGCAGGGGTGTTTGGAAATGAACAGGCAGACAGACTGGCTGGTCCTGCACCAGTAGGTGGTGAATTTGTGCATGACAGACTAGATGTGATCAGGGCCCTTTTGGGAGCAAGTGAACAATGCAGAGGCACAAACAGATCATTATAGTTTGGATAGATTGGTACAGATAGCAGTGTGCAGGAGATCTGATCAAAACTGTGCACTCGGAAGAAAGGTAAGTAAAAAAAAAAAGTAAAGGTTCCTTTTCCAGGCCTCTGGGCGTATAGGGCATATAGGGCTAGACCTATATTTTTGTAGACTAATCGGCACAAGATGGATGATGTGTCAGCATCACACCAGAAAGGTATGGTGGACATATAACTAAACTGCTACAGCATCATCAGAACCGGAATGTTTTGCTGGCTGCTGAAGATAAAGACAGAGCATTTCTGGAAATGTTCTGAAGGCCGTGATGCAATTTCCTAGCTCAAAACTCAACAACACTGTTTCCCTTGTAGTCCTATGTTTGATTCCCCACCAAGGTACATTTTTAAAATCAGACTAGCTTCCAGGTTGATCCCACATATTGTGGATGCCAGAAAATACCTTGGGAAGTTGAGATGGCTGGCATGATACTGACCGCATCAAGCTCAGTATGCTACTTTTACTACATACTACTACTACTACTATTATTATTCAAAACAATGTTTTCCCCGTAATGAATTTAAATAATGCGGATTCAAACAATATATTGCACAATTTATTGCCAGGCATATTTCACTGTATCTCATCAGCACTATTATTATTATTACCATTGAATTTACTGGTACTGTTATTTCAACCACTATTATGATTATTGCTCCTGACTAGTCTTTGTTTTTTTTATTTTTTTATTATTACTGTTATTATTATTACTGTTTCCATCCTTTTATTTCTTTTATTTTTTCCCCACCTTTTTTTAAAAAAAACTCCTTTTACTTTTTAAAGATATTCACATAACCCCCTGTTGGAGACTGGTGGCCAGAGTACTTTGTCCTTAGTGACTGTTGTTGTGGTTTATGTCAAGAAAGGTTCCAGGCAGAATTTTCTGTGGTTTTTTTATATACATTGTTACACTTCCTTATTTTTCCCTTTTGTTAAGTTCCTTTGTCAGAGTTTGATCCCAGCTGCGGGCCATGCGCCTTGCATTAGTTTCGACAGTGGTATCGAGAAGCCAACCATCCAGAAAGCAATGGCAAACTACTGGACATAAATTTGCCTAGAAAACCCACACAACAGCTGTTGGGGTTGGTTCTGCAACGTCCTGTAAAGGATACGCAACTAATCTTAACCTCAGAGTTTCCCATAAGCCCCAGTCAATCACACACAGCATAAGTCACCTGATACATGTGCTTTTTATGCCCCCAGGGGATGTTTTCAACTTAAATTCTCCTTTCATGTATCTTAATATATTAAAATAATTAATAAATAAAAATATAAAAATGTAGGAATATACGTTTTTGACAAATCTATTAGTGACCTATGTAACAATTAAAAAATAAAAAAATTTTAAGGCATTATTGTCTGGAATTATTGACAGTTTGTGGTGCTATAGCAGACAAGTGAGAAGACTATTGATAGGAAATGTATGTATGCAGTTTGTTTTTTTGCTGATAATCCTTATGAATATCTGAGAACCACTAAAAAACAATTATTTAACATGACTGTTGTCTGCTGTAAATGTACTTTTAGCTGTTTGATTAGGCCATCTGTAGCGCTGTTGCAAGTAGATTAGAAGACTGCCACTAGATATGGCTATGTGTAGTTGCAGTAGAGAGTAGCTCTGTCAACGGTTGCCTCATTTCAATGAAAACTAGCACATTTCTAACCAACAGCATCAATTTCAGCACGGGCAACCGGGTTGACATCAACCTCAGCCAGAACAACCTGAAGGACAACCGTGACAAGAAGATCACCATTGACAGTGTGGACACTACTGCCAAAACAACATCAATGACGGTCCCGCTAGCAAAGAACACGGAAGAGGACATGTCAGACACAGGTGAGGTTTTTGATATTGTTGAATTTGTTGTTATTCCAACTGTGTTGAGGCGTCTACTCTCAACAACAAGTTGCATTATATTACAAATCTCACTTTGTTGTAACTAGCTCATGTGCCTGACGTGAGCTAGTATGCTTAGGAGGTGGCCATTATAAGTAGGATGCTTAACAGAAATTAGGGTGATGGAAAGGGCATTTTGTTCAGCTGACTTGGGCTCACAACCTACACTTGGTACCATAAGCAATCCTAGAAAAAAAAGGAAATAGTGTGAGGTCACTGTTTACCCAGAATTCTTTAGTTAGTTATTTGTTGACAGATTATCCTCGTTGCACATGGAACCATCCAGTTCATAAGTGCTCAGTTCACCTCCTCAGTAAATCCTGAAGCATGTAGCAGCTGATGACACCAGTTCTGTGTTGGTTTCTTATTCTTCTTTGGCTTCCTGCATAGTTTTCTTGTTTAATCACTAAAATGCTTTGAGGTGTGGAAAAGATCCTAAGAGAAGAAGAAAGAGAGAGGTGACTACTGCGGTAGTAGACAGAGAGGTGACTTCTGCTCTAGTAGACAGAGAGGTGTCTACTACAGTTGTAGACAGGGAGGTGACTTCTACAGTTGTAGACAGAGAGGTAACTACTGCAGTAGTAGACAGAGAGGTGACTACTGCGGTAGTAGACAGAGAGGTGACTACTGCGGTAGTAGACAGAGAGGTGACTACTGCAGTAGTAGACAGAGAGGTGACTTCTGCTCTAGTAGACAGAGAGGTGACTACTACAGTTGTAGACAGGGAGGTGACTACTACAGTTGTAGACAGAGAGGTGACTACTACAGTTGTAGACAGAGAGGTGACTACTACAGTTGTAGACAGAGAGGTGACTACTGCAGTAGTAGACAGAGAGGTGACTTCTGCTCTAGTAGACAGAGAGGTGACTTCTGCTCTAGTAGACAGAGAGGTGACTTCTGCTCTAGTAGACAGAGAGGTGTCTACTACAGTTGTAGACAGGGAGGTGACTTCTACAGTTGTAGACAGAGAGGTAACTACTGCAGTAGTAGACAGAGAGGTGACTACTGCGGTAGTAGACAGAGAGGTGACTACTGCGGTAGTAGACAGAGAGGTGACTACTGCAGTAGTAGACAGAGAGGTGACTACTACAGTTGTAGACAGGGAGGTGACTACTACAGTTGTAGACAGAGAGGTGACTACTACAGTTGCAGACAGAGAGGTGACTACTACAGTTGTAGACAGAGAGGTGACTACTGCAGTAGTAGACAGAGAGGTGACTACTACAGTTGTAGACAGAGAGGTGACTACTGCAGTAGTAGACAGAGAGGTGACTACTACAGTTGTAGACAGAGAGGTGACTACTGCAGTAATAGACAAATAGGTGACTACTACAGTTGTAGACAGAGAGGTGACTACTGCAGTAGTAGACAGAGAGGTGACTACTGCAGTAGTAGACATAGAGGTGACTACTACAGTTGTAGACAGAGAGGTGACTACTACAGTTGTAGACAGAGAGGTGACTACTGCAGTAGTAGACAGAGAGGTGACTACTACAGTTGTAGACAGAGAGGTGACTACTACAGTTGTAGACAGAGAGGTGACTACTACAGTTGTAGACAGAGAGGTGACTACTACAGTTGTAGACAGAGAGGTGATTACTACAGTTGTAGACAGAGAGGTGACTACTGCAGTAGTAGACAGAGAGGTGACTACTGCAGTAGTAGACAGAGAGGTGACTACTACAGTAGTAGACAGAGAGGTGACTACTACAGTAGTAGACAGAGAGGTGACTACTACAGTTGTAGACAGAGAGGTGTACTAGTCATATGATATATGGCTGCATCAGTAGTTACTACAGTAGTTCTTCTTCTTGATTCACCCTTAATTGTGTGGTCGGTATGTTGTGTTATGATCTACAGCTAGGCTGTGATATCTGCACCCTTCAGCCTTTCACATCTGTTTTGAGCAAACCCTTAATTATTAGCCTTTCTTAATGTGCTTGTTAATGGATCAATGGGTCTGTTGTTTCTTCCTCCTAAATAGGGTCCCTAACCAAACACAGAGTACTACAGTAGCATTGAAGTGTGTGTTAGTTAGTGAAGTTATTAAAGTGAGGTGATATGATAATTACTACAGACATTATGTCTAAATATTAACAGTAGCAGAATTAGTTATCACAGTCAGTATGAACTGATTAATATTGGTCACTTATAACACAAGACATTTTAACTGGGATACAAAACAGTTTTAATGATGTGTGAGAGGGAGCTACTGCAGTTAGAGACATACATCATAGAATGTTTTTTTTTAAATAGTTAGTAAGTTAGAGTGGCTGGTTGAGGGCTTAGAATAGTGGCATCAGTCAATACAGGCTGTAAATAAAGCCTGCTTTAGGTAGTAATGCTGGGATGTCATGTAGCAAACCCTGGTTAAAACAAGAACAGACCAACTGCCACCCCAACAAGCATTTCTAAAAGTTGATAAATTGGGGGCTTCCTTTATAGTCGGATTGCATCTGCCTAAGAGACAAGGAACTAACAGTCTGCATACAAATTAGCAAAATCTGTAAAACAGACGCACACGCAAAACTCAGGTCCTGGAAGAAAGCCAAAGTCTAGTAATGGATAACAATCCGGTCTTTCCACTAAGGTTTACAGCCGGTGAATGCAAATAACAACAAATCCTTAGTAAGGTTATGGGTTTTTTCTGACGGTTCTCTCTCCCGCCCCCCCCCCCCCCCCCCCCCCCCCCCCCCCCCCCCCCCCCCCCCCCCCCCCCCCCCCCCCCCCCCCCCCCCCCCCAAAAAAAAATATATCCTAACCTGTACAGTCTGAGGTAACTGTGGTAGCCATGCAGCCCTAAATCCTCATGCTCAAAAACCTACACCCCAAAAGATAAATACAGGCAGTAATGGCTGTTAGTAGTCAGACCATTCTCCTTGCACATCAAACCACTCAGTCCCTAAGCTGTTGGATCCCCTCCTCAGTAAATCTTACATCGTGCATTTGCTGAAGCTTTATACTGATATAAAACTTGTGTGATCAGCAAATGATATCATACTGATATAAAACTTGTGTGAACAGCAAATGATATCATATTGATATAAAACTTGTGTGAACAGCAAATGATATCATATTGATATAAAACTTGTGTGATCAGCAAATGATATCATATTGATATAAAACTTGTGTGAACAGCAAATGATATCATACTGATATAAAACTTGTGTGATCAGCAAATGATATCATCTGTAATGACAGGAAATGTTTCAGCCAATCACAGACCGCCCGAAGCAGCAGCAGGTAAGATCAGATGGTGAAGGGATTTTGATTTCTTTGGTGAAGGTTTTTCGTCTTTTTGCTGAGACAAAGCATGCTGTATTCTACCATCACAAGTGGTCTGTCAGTTATATCAATGCACATGGTTCAATATCCACATGTTTTGAGTCTGTTGAGTTTGCATTAAGTTACAACGAGCATGGTGTCTCCATCCTCTGCCTCCTTTTCATCATCCTCCTCCTACTTCTAGCTCTTCTTCTGCCCCTCTTCTTTCTCATCATATTTTATTTCTGCTTTCTGTTCCCCTCCCCACCTCCCACTACCTTTTTCTTCTTCTTCTCCTCCTCCTCCTTTTTCTTCTCATTCTAATTCTCCTCCTTCTTCTTCTTCTCCTCCTCTTCCTCCTTCTCCTTTTTTCTTCTAATTCTACTTCTTTTTCTTCTTCTTCTCCTTCTTCTTCTCCTACCTCTACTCCTCTGACTCTTCTTCTTTTAAAAAAATCCCTATGGGTGTATAGACACACAAAATAGACACTCATTGTCTCCTTTATAATGTGAGGTTTATTCTTTCATGAAAGGTATCCCACTTGCCTTCAAGTGAGATCTTTAAGTATGTGTAATTGCATCCAAATTAAAGCATGACTGATTGCTACACTATATGTCAGTTAAGGAGCAAATTCTAAGTGAAATTGTAAAGTGTACATGCCAAAAGAGATCATGAAAAACTGAAGTATACCTTGTATAACAGCCAGCTAAAATCAGAAAACATCAAATACATTTGTGCAAAGCTACTTCACCTTTCAGGTTTAACACAGATAATCTTGACCAGACAACAAAGTACTTCTAGACTACAAATGGCAGCAATTTTTATTTAGCCATTACTTCTCTGGGGTCAGTTCAACCTAAAAAAATGGTCACTAGATATTTGTCCAAGTTTGTTGGCACTTGTCTCTAAGGATGCATGGGAAAATAACTGGCTATACAAGCTCATTATTACAGTCTAGAATATTAAAAAGCCTTCTATGTTAGTACTTGCAGTAGAACACCCTTGTCTTGTTAAATCTAAGACAGAAGATGGGACGACTACGTGAACACATTTATTTATTGTATTTGGGAATATGTGAAATAACGTTGATTTACTGCATTTTTTCTTGCTTGCTTTTTTTGGTTTAATTTTTAATCCATTAATTTACAGTTATGGCTGGAGCAGTTTATTTGAGTATCCTTTCACCTCCACTCTTTCACGTCTCACTGGCTTTGGGGATGTAGTAAGATATAGATTGAGAAATATGGCCATAAATAATACAATCAGGCCTCTTTTGGAGGGGGGGGGGGGGAGTGCTTGTACTTCCATCAATAGTGGTGGGGAAAAAATTATACCTAAAGGAAGGTACCAGTTGTGACTACTGTTGCCTTCCACCAGAAAATGGCTCTGAACACAACACCGTCATCATCATTATAACACATGCCTTTGAAGCAGTCTAGTCAGGCTTTTGCCAAAACTCCTGCCTCATAAATTTTCATGCCCAACGCTCAACACTCAAGGGAATGGAGAGTAGGAAGCAACAGCAAAATTCATAATCTGTTTAAATCACCACTGATCACTGGCATATGAGGGTGAATAGACTAAAATGACTGGGGCTTATAAAGAGAATGGAAGATGATAGAGGCAAAATTACAGTCTGTCGTCCCGATACGGGACGCAGTTTTGTGTGTGTTATTTTAAAGACCAACCCTGGCTATAGTCGGGGGCCCTAATATAACCTAACAGTTGAGCGGGGTTTCTGGGCCTCTCCCCGGGTGATCCTCATCCGCATGGTGGCACTTTGTGTCACCGAGTGTTCATTGCTTGGTGGATGTCCAAATGGGGTTGAATCTCATGTATTCGTTCAAAGGCAAAAAAAAACTGTGTACATGGGGGGGGGGGGGGGGGGGGTTGAATGACCTTAGGCTGTGAGGCCAGCCAAAAAAAGACAATGGAAAGATAATATCTGGGCAGACCTGTAGACACTTGGTGTCACCAACAGGAAAGAGAAGGTTAGTCAGAGAGATGAATGGAGGCAGGATATTTCTGCAGTCTTTAAATGTTGAATTAAAAATGTGCAGTCTATATTTTGGTGCACACGCCATGCAAAAATTACTTAGGGAGTTAGAAAAAAAATATGTGTTGTTACCCTTTTCCATGCCTTGAAACATATTGTGTATTTGATGCTAGCCCAAGAGCCATGGCTTTGAATATTACTTAATTCTAAGTGGCATCAGACTATATATAGCAAACTGGTATCCTCCCTTTCTTCTAAAGCAAGCACGAGTAGCAGTGGCACAGTGGATGCACAACCTCGTCCAGGCAGTCAGAATGAAAACCAGGGATTCACTGGGCCTAAACCCATGCTGCCATACAGTTCTATGTTCATCTTTGGTCCCACTAACCCGTGAGTAGCATCCATTGAACTTTGTTTTGTTGCTGCTGATACTTTGTACAACATTGAATGAGTATTTGCTGAATTGTTGTAACTGCTGCTTCCATTGATGATGAACTGTGATTTAGCGGTGGATTGTTTTGTGTTGCCATTTCTGGCAACTGCCTTGTGCATTTTATATGTGTTTGCTGTTGGCTTTGGCGAAACTGCAGTCCGTTTTATTTGTCTGGTTTTTTCACAAGGGACTGTAATAGTCCTTCTGTGTGTTTTTGCTGACACAGTTATAGGGTGACCCCTTTGCTGTGAAGCTGGAGTTGTAAGTAATCTAAAATCTTGTTTAGCTGTGGAAAAGCTCTCAGCTGCACACTCCTGTTTTTGTTTGAATATTGTCAGATTGTAATGTTAGTAAGTTGATAAATTATAATAATTGTCTGAGAACAAGTAAGTGTGTCTGTGGTAGTTATTAACTCCTGTGGTACCAAGCAGCTGATTCAGCATTACTTTCTGCTCCCAAATTCTTGTACTTTACAGCAGCGATCTTTGAGAATAGGTTTACAAAATAAAGGTTGTAGTAACAAACTGTGCTGGGTAACTATACAACAAACCTCATCATTTGTGACCTATTCCGTGATTCTGATCATTGTGTGAGAGGATGAAACACGACAGCCTCTGCCAGGGCTATTTAGCCCGTGGGCTAAATCTGGCCAGTGAAGGCCTAGATAATGGCCCACGGATCATTACCAGTTGTATTGTATCTCTATGCCAGGGTTCAGGCCTTTGGCCCATGACGATCTACATGTACACAATTTTGTCTTCTGAGTAAATTTAGTAGAATAATCCTTCTTCTTCTTCTGCCTTTCTATCCCCCAAAGGAGCATAGGCCCTCAACCAACGCATGCCAAGTTGTTCTATCCTTTGCTATTAAATGGAGCTCTCCTCATGTTCTCCCCATCTTTCTAAACAGGAGAATAGCATAACTAGAATGTCTTTGCATTGGAATCCACTGGTGCATAGGAATAAAGGAAGGCCAAAAAAACACACGGAGAAGAGAACTGGAGAATGAAGTTGGAAAGAATAATCCTGGCCTATACTTACCGGCCCATGATGATGATGAGTGTCCAGAAATTTAATAAATACAAAATGTGATATTTTCATTGCAATAATGTATCATACACAGAATGCTAAAATGATGAGGAAAACCTTGAGGCAGTAATACTATAGTTCCTAATTTGTTTTGCTTTGTTTTACGCAGCATTCGTCGCTTCTGTCACTTTGTGGTGAACTTGCGCTACTTCGACCTGTTCATCATGATTGTCATCTGTGCCAGCTCCGTGGCTCTAGCAGCCGAGGATCCCGTCATCGAGGATTCATATAGGAATAAAATACTCAACTACTTTGATTATGTTTTTACTGGGGTCTTCACCATTGAACTGCTTCTAAAGGTTTGTTCTGGTTCAGATTTTATGATTGTACTTATTTCTACAGTAGGAAACAGGCATATTGGATGTATATCTCATGCACACATACACATACTACTAATACTTCTATTCTACGGTCTGGTCCTTTCCCCCATTGAATACTCTCTGGCCATCCTCACTGTCAGTGCTACCCAGATTGAACGACTCAAAAAGGTGCAAAATGAAGCCATGCGCATTATTTTGGGATGTACAAGAGACACATCCTGTGGAGCAATGAGGTATCTACTTGACTTTCCAACAATGAACCAAAGGATCAGGATATGGAGGGCTCGGGCATATCTCAAAATATGTGATGATAAGAAACACCCACTGCATCAAGCGCTTTTTAGTGAAAAGGGCGACAGACTGAAGAGGGGGAAATCGTGGCTAGGTCGGGCAGAAGATGTTATTAGGCAAATATGCAGCCTAACCGACATCATACCTGGTGCAAAATGGATACCTGTGCCTCAGGCGTTTATTTGTACATTTTCCTGAATTGTCACACTCAACAGGCGATGTAGAGAAGAGAATCCTGTTGCTGTTAATGCAGAGGTCAACGCTCTCATCGGTGAAAATTCAGACGAAGCAGATGCACTAATCTATACAGACGGATCCGTTATACGCCAAAGAAGAAGCGCATGGGCATTTACAGCACGCTCAGCGGGCAGAACAGTCAAAGAAACCAACGGCGCCTTCTCCATGACAACCAGCAGCATGACGATGGAGGTGATGGCAGTGACGCAAGCGCTTGCCTGGCTTGAAACAAAAAAAATACACCCGTGTGTGTATACTCAGTGATTCAATGAGTATGATCCGGAGGGTTCAGGCAGGTTCAGTGCGAAGACAATGGCTTGAATCATTACAGAAGTCCACTGTGCGTGGAGTCACCTTCATTTTTGTTCCGGGACACGCAGGCGTCGATGGAAATGAAAGAGCTGACAGGTTGGCTGGATCCGCTATCACTACCGACGGTCAGCCTATGGATCATGCTGATATTATCAATGCCCTCAGAGAAATGGGAAGGATAGAGGACTTTGGTGGCAGTGAATCAACATCACTCGCCAGAATGGCAGACTTGGGAATTAAGATCGGTATAGCAAAAAACGAGACGCACACCAGACACGCCAGAAGACTTGTTAATCAACATAGAACTGGTACTATTAGCCGTCGGACGTTAGGGTTCATACTGAGGGGAGGATCTGAGCACCTATGGACATGTCTGGAGTGCAATGAGGAAAACCCAACTAACTAACTAACTAACACATACACATGCACAACCACCATCACTACACCATATACCCACATATGTGCACTAACATCCACACACAGAAATTCCAACTTCATATTCCAAATATATGGCGTCTTAATTTTGAACCCAATCCAATGAAAAATCAACAAGTATGGCAGAATTAAACAAAACATTCTTTTTCAAATTATTATGCTCCAGGGATTGGTCAGAAAGTTACCATAGGCTTTAGGCAAGCATCCCATTGCTTATGTAGGCAGTGAATGCCATCTGCAAAAAAAAGCATTGTGGTTGCTCACTAAACCGAGTGGTTACTGGGTACTGCATCTATATGAAACCATTACCCCTTGAGAGCTTCATTTATAGTTCCGAACAAATTAAAATCACATGGTGACAAATCAAGACCACAGGCTGGATGTTGGAGAATCTCCCACTTCTTCTGTGCTAACAATTCCTGCACAACCTTTGCAACATCTGTGCTAGCATTATTGTGGAACAAGATCTCACTGTGAGAGAGCATTCCAGGATGTTTATTCATAATGGCTCTATGCAGCTTGTCTGGTGTTTCAAGTAGTGAATAGAATTAAGGTTGACACCGGTTCTTTTTTTAAAAAGTCTGCCAACCATAGCCCTTCGAGGTTTAAAAAAAATGTGCATTGCAAAATCTTACCAGCAGAAACCTGTAACTGTTTTACTTTATTTAGACTTAAAGAACCAGAATAGTGAATGTATATATTATACTTAAATATACAGGAAGCAATTTTCAGATGTGATTTTTTTTTCTATGTGAATACTTTTAAATTCTGTTATTATCACTTAATATGTCATGGCAGTGACCATAGCAATAACATTGCTGGAGACACAGACCTTTACCTGTGCATGTTTTCTCTGTGCTTCAGTGAGTATGCTCAGGAAGATAGAGATGAGTTATGTCTAAAGACAGTTGTTCGAGTCTCTGAAGTAGTCAGGGCTAACAAATATCAGTTTCATATTCATGCCAGTGCATGCAGGCGTGCAAGGAAATGAACAAGCTGATAGGCTAGCAGGTAAAGCTACTATGGATGGTGGATGTCTATGGACCAGGCTGATATTCTGAATGCTGTATGAGAAGTAATACATTAGTGAGAACCAAGTGATGACTGTGAATCTGCAACCGTGACAAGACTGCAAGAACAACATGTTAAAAAGGGTATGGCCAGACAAGAGAACTATGCAGAAAGCTAAAGAAGAATAAGAAACTAACATAGAACTGGTGTTGTCAGCCGCAACTTGTTGCAGGATTTACCAAGGAGGGAATCCGAACACTTATGGACTGAATGGTTCAGTGTTCAGTGAAGATAATATGCCGACTAACCAACTAACTTGACATCATTTGTGTGCATTTGAAACAACTTTTTAATTGTTCTTTCTCCAATTAATACTTATCTTCATTTAGATATTATGTCATCACTAAAACATTATTTTTTGGGGTTTAATTTTCATGTCACAACTTAGGTATAGTTTGTCAGTTAACATTATGGTGCATTTTAGTAGTATCTCATGAGTTAACATTTTATCTGGATCGGGGGGGGGGGGGGGGGTAATCACATATGAGATAATGTTTTCATGTATAAACGGTGTGACCACATAGATTTCTTCACCTATACTATGAACATTTGTTATTCTTTCAACATTTCACCATTGCAGATTGTAGACTCGGGCATTCTTCTTCACCCTGGTGCTTACATGAGAGATTTATGGAACATCCTGGATGCAACAGTTGTTGTCTGTGCCCTGGTTGCTTTTGCTTTCCAGTAAGTCAGAGCTGAAACTTGTCTTCAGTATATTCTTACTATAAAACTCAGTCAGTGATTTGATTCAAGCCCGCCACATTTTTATATACCACCTCTGTCAGTGTTATATGACAACTGAACTCTCTCGTCTCAAAACATTTTTTTTTCTCAGCAGATGTCCAAGGGATGCATGTACCCACCTATAAGACGCCCCCATGTGTTTGTTTGGATTTAAATTAGGAAATAAATATTTAAAACACATTCCGTGTATGGGTTTACCTCGCTTCCTCCCCCCTCTCCCCACACACCCATTTTAACTGACAAAATTTAAAAAAACCATACTGTCTTATGCACAGAAAAACACTATAAAAAGTAATGTGAACATGGCCTTTAAAGTGTAAAAATGTGCAGTGAAAGTGGCCACTAGATTTCTTTGTATACTCTGACTAAGCATAGAAAATAGAACATATTATGTGATTGTTAGGATTCAAGAAGAAGAAGTTATCTCATATTATTTGAAACTGAAAGCTAATATTAATATATCATTTATTTTCAGTTTGTTTACTGTTACTGTCACAGTGGAAATGTTAATCTCACAAATCTAGTTTGTTACAATTTAATTTCGCTGCTTTTGTCAATTTTAGATTTACAAAATGCATCATTTCCCTGGAGATTGACAAGCATCAAATATTTAGAAAGTATTGTGTGCTTATTGTGTTAATAATTAATGCAGACCATTTATGCATAATTAGGGAACTGCATTTTTGACAGTTTATCCTCTCCTTTGTTCTTATTTTGTCATAAAGCTTCTGCTGCAAAGCATTGCAAAGAGGAGTTAGATGTAGTTTCCTGTCTTTTGCTAGTTGCATAGCCTGTGTTGATGTCATATTTTGTTTCTGTGGTGTCTCTTTCACTCTCTCCATCCATATCTTTTTTGGTCAGCCTCTTGCCTTGTAGCCTGCTGTTCTTATGTTGTGACTGTTTATTCGCACATGTATATTCTTTGAAACAAAGTTTACTGTGATGTAATTTTCTGCATGTTTTTCAAGAACAATACTGGATATAACTTGATGCCATTTGGTTCTCTGTGTATTCTACAGTGACAGTGCCGGCAAGAACCTCAACACCATCAAGTCACTTCGAGTGCTCAGGGTTCTAAGACCTCTGAAGACAATCAACAGAGTGCCCAAGCTAAAGGTATCTGCTGTACAGAGCAGGCAGTCATCAGCTGTTTTGTTGTGCAGTTATACATCACATAGGAGATGTACTTTATTCCCACATTCTGTTCCATCTTGTGCATTCCTTTTGAAATCATGGATGTAGTCTAGTCTAGCACCTTTTGCCTCCCTCAACAACGTTTGCCCTGGGTTTTTCTTGGACATCCTTGTTTCCTCAACCAGTTTGTCTCCTATTTCAGAGCAGGCAGTAGTTTGATAAAATGTCATGTCTATAAAAACAATCAGACGTCTTCCTTTCACATATACTGGAAGTATCGACTTTTTCAGCCATGCTAAAATTAAAAACAAAATGATAGAGTTTGTTGGTGGGTGGTGGAAAATGGGGAGCTGGGTGATCAAACAGTTGGATAAATGGATGGTTTATGAATAAGTAGATAGGTAGATGGGAGCTGTTATGATGCGGCTAGATGATTGAAACAGAATCACAATCTATGTTTTAAAGATACTAAGTGGAATCACAGTCTTTGTTATCAAGATAAGAAGTGGAATCACCATCTTTGCTTTCAAGATAATAAGTGGAATCACTATCTTTGCTTTCAAGATACTAAGTAAAATCACTGTCTTTGCTTTCAATATATTAAATGGAATCACTATGTTTGCTTTCAAGATACCAAAAGGAATCACAGCCTATCATTGTGCCTTCTCATCTTTATCATTACCAATAATATTATGTGCACTTGAAATGAATTTCATGAACTCAACCTATTACTAGAAAGCTTAACAAGAGAGAAAGGGGAAAACAAGAAGCAGTCAAACTTTGGAATATGGATAATCAAACTGAAAATTTATTTTATTCCCCTTTTTGAATTTGAACAAAGAAGACACAAACAATAGATTGCACAATTGATTGCCAGGCATGTTTTGCTGCATCTTGTCAGGTGCATACTAAAGTAACAGTTCATTAAATGAAGCAAATAAATGAAATCTTGGAACTAAAACACAAAATTGACTACATTCACAAACTGTCTGTTTTACCAGGGTAACCACAAGGTGAAGAGCATGTCCTTTTGTCTGCATAATTCTGGACTAAACTGGCAGATAGCTGACACTTCCACAAATCTCAGTAATCAATGGTTGGCTGAACTGTAAATATTTCAAAAGGCATCATACTTGAATACAATGTGTCCAGAATTTAGAATATGGCACGCTATTGCTGATGATGGATTTTTTTTAACCAGTCACCTGAATAGTTTTTGTTGAGATATTGTTAGTGTTATGCATTGCTTTTACCACCCATACTGATATATGTTCAGCAACCGTTTCTCCAGTCATCGATATATGTGTCAATATATTTGTCGAATTCTAACATCAGTCTATTTGTGAGGCTTCAGGTTGGTAACAAACCTGTCCGAGGGTGACATCTTTTTTCATGTATCTAGCAGGTTATGTGTTAAAGTTCAGTGGTTCCTTCACTAAGTCAGTGTTTTCATTGAGAAGAAACATATTTAAATTCTAATGTGCAGATAAGATTCACTTTTTCTGTTATCTGATATTGTATCTTCTACTTTCTACTATTGTCCTCTTTTATCTATCAGAGCTTACCAGTTTACCAAAAATCTGGGTTTAAGAAGAAAAAAAAATCTTTCAGTCCCACAAGATCATAACTGATGCCCAGTAGAGGCAATAAAAATGACAACATAATAAGTATACAACATCTACAGGTTCCACCCAAATACATAGCATATTTACAGGGACACATAGTTTACTGGCATAATTGAATATTCCATGTCTAAACGTAAGATGTACAGACATATATTACATGAACATAAGTAATGTACACTCATACAAATGCATTTTTCGATACCGATGGAGTTAAATCTTTTTCCAGTATCCTTATGGGTTCCCAGCAATTCATATTTCTCTGTCTGATAAAAGTTCTGCAGTTCTACCATTTACACACATATAAAAACATTTAATATGGTTACATTAACTATTTGAGTCCTAGGTTGGATGCTATTTAATGGCATTTTATTTTAAGAATGTATTGTTTTAACTAATAAATACTTGAGTCTGAAGCAGATAAAATTATAACACCATTAGAAAAAAAGAATTTAAGGCAGTAATTAAGGCAGAGTAAGTTAATGTAATTACTGTCTCGGGGACAAAGGGTTAATTAAATAAAGTAGAGGACCCATTTCCATGCCTTCAGGTATATAGGCATATAGAGCTAGATCTATATTTTATAGACCAGTCGGCTGCCTTTACTTCCCAGGACTACACCTAGTACCTACCCAAGGCTGAGTCAAACAGAAGGTTAATGATAGTATATAATGTAAGAGAGCTCAACAAACTAGGGTGAGTCGCTTGGGACTGAATCAGTTAACAAGTAAAGATTAACTGATTACATAAAACAGACATTAAAAAGATGTTGATTTTCAGTAGAAATATTTGCTAGAATGGTGTAAGAGGATGTCTTCTGTTCCTGCTCATCTAATGATAAGTGCAGTGAAGATCGGGCACACAATGTATACAGAAATCAGCAAGTGGATGGATAGATGAGTGGGTGGATGTGAGAGGCTGCAGTCAGATAGATAGATGAATAGATGGATGGATAGACAATTGTTTTGTATGTTAGACAGATAAGTTGATACAATGTTTACACGCATGGTGTAAGAGTGTGGCTTCTGTTCCAACTAACCGTATGGTAAGGACAAAGATGATCAAGCATAGTAGATTTACTCCAGTTGACAGATGGATAGCTAGACAAACACCTAGACAGGTGAAGGAAGAAAAGAAAGACAGAACTTTATTTAGATAGGTAGGTAGGCAGGTATGTAGGTAGGTTATTCAGACGGACAGTCTGTTAGTTTGGGGGTGGAGAATGGGGAGGAGGTTGAACAGTTTGACAGCAAATAGATGGGTTATGAGTGAGTAGATAGGCAGGTAGACAAGGAGTTGATGGTTAAATGGATTAGTAGATAGATATATCAATTTTTAGACAGAAAGATAGTCATATAATTAGCTACATAGCAATTTGTTTGGACACATTAATAAATAGACGTAGTAATATTTGCATCAGTAATTGGTGAGTGAGCATTAATATTAATGTGATCATTTTGTTTGTTGAAGTAAAATAAAACTCATTGTTTCCTCCACAGGCTGTGTTTGACTGCGTGGTCAACTCATTGAAGAATGTCTCCAACATCCTCATTGTCTACATCCTCTTTCAATTCATCTTTGCCGTTATTGCTGTCCAGCTGTTTAAAGGTCGTTTCTTCTACTGCACTGATGAATCAAAATCTACAAGAGATGAATGTCAGTAAGTATGAGATTGGAGACACATCTTCTACAGACATGAATGCTAGGATGTGGAAATGAAGGACTCATTTCAGTCCACTAAGAAGTAACAGAAGATTCCCTTGTAGGGATGTCTTCAGGAGTTCTTCTACTTCTTCTTCTTCTTCTTTGTGTTCACTGGCTGTGTTTGTCCGCTTCTGGACGCTAGTTCTGTTCCGGACCCTGAGTGTTATGTGCACATCTGTTTTACAGATCTAATTTACTGGTATGCAGACTGTTGGTTCCTTGCATCTCAGGTAGATGCACTCTGATTTCAAAGAAAGCTCCCAATTAGTCATCTCTTACGACATGCTTTTTGGAATGCAGCAGGCAAATTTTTTGTTTTCCACCACAATGGGGCCCAGGAATCCACACAGTGAGTCTTTAGGAGTTGAAAAAAAGATTAATTTGACTTGTAAAATTAAGAAACATTATTGAAAGTTAAGTAGCAGCAGACATGTCATACTGAGGATGCCTCAAGGGCCATATGGGTCACATCTGTGTTGTCATGAGCCACACACTTAGATATCTTTTGTGGGGGCCACAGGTGTGCTGGCAAGGCGCCGCATGTTCGACCTGCCTGCTGTAAACAAGTCACGGCATTTGATGGTTGTTTCTGATTTTACGAGGCAATGTTATATTTACTCATTTTCTATTGCTACTGAAATGTCAATATTCATGTGACTGTCAAAAGAAGCGGCCTAAGATGCAAAACTGCCTACAGCTAAATTGAACCTGGTCTGTCTGCGGTTTAGGTTTTGCAAACACGCTTCGTAATGTTGGGGTGCTGGGTCAATCCCAGCTGCAGTCGGCACGGCAATTTGGCAGCAGAATATATTGTGTTAGTTTCAACAGTGGTACTGAGAGCTGACCATTCAGTAAGCAGTGGCAAACTACTTAAAGTAAAATTTGCCTTAAAAAAAAAACAGCAGCAGCAAAAAGAAATATGCTGGGATTGGTTCTGCAATGTCCTGTAAAGGATATGCAACTAACTTTATGTTGGAATTATGACAAGTGTTCCTAACCCAAGAAGCCACTGACACAAACTAGTCAAACCAAAAGAATAAAAAAAAATGAATTCAGTCAGTTTGATTTTACCAGTTATAATAAAAGTATGTTCATTACGTGCCATCTCCTGTGCAGAGGCCAGTTCTTCAAGTATGAAGGCAACTCGGACGACCCAACCGTCAATGACAGGGAGTGGCTGAGACAAGACTTCCATTATGATAACACCATGATGGCCATGCTGACTTTATTTACTGTCACCACTGGAGAAGGCTGGCCCAAGTAAGTGACTGATGTCAGAATGTCTCCGCCCCTTAACATTTGTTTGTTACCTCTAGCTGATGTGATTGTTGTAGGTTTTCCCTTTCTGGGTTGTTGATTTAAAATCTGACCATCCTTCCAACTCTCAAAGTCATATCCTGGGCATCACTCCATTAGGGTTGGAAAGTGAACCCTGTCAACAAATGCTTGATAAAGTTAGATGTGTCGGCCGAAAGACAAAAATATCTAATGTCTGTTCTAAATACGCACAATGCATTTATGTCGTTCGGGCGAAAAGAATAAGAAGACTCTTTAGGGTAAATTCTGGAAACCTTGTTTAGTCAAACTTCTGAGAAGTTATAATTTCCACCTTTGCAATGTCTACATCAAGTAGATGATATATCACAGAAATAAAGATCAGAATAAGACAAGCTAAAAATGCCTTTTATGAAATGCAATAAATTTATGTCATTGGAGTTGTCATTGTTTGGGCATGTTATGAGAAGGAGGAGAATATATTGTGACCACTGGAAAGATATGTGTGAAAAGAGACAGAGGAAATCAACATGAGAAGATTCTTGACAGCATTTTGTCTTGTCATGGAGGGGTGTCAATACATGAACTGATACACGCATGATCACCTACGCCAGTTAGTAGGGCACTTGATGACTATGATGACATCATGTACTTCTCTGATGTCTCTTGCTGTCCAAGGTGGGTAGGGATTTTTTTTTTTTCTGTAAGTTGAAAAACGAAATTTTTTTTAATGTTAGCATTCCAAGAATTACCATATATATATATATATATATATATATATATATATATCTTTTTAAGGTGGTAAAATTGACAGAGAAATAGAAACCAGATGTCAGAAAGCAAGTGCATTTATATACCAATTGTCACCATTTTTAAGACATCCAGGTATAACTGAATGCAAAGAAACAGATTATAAACAGCATGTTCATTCCAACATTAGGCTACCAGTGCCAAACATGGACATTATCTAAAGTCCATACATGCAAAATCACCACCTGCGAGATGAGGTGCCTGAGAAAAGCAGCCAACTTAACCATCTGAGATTAAGTTAATAATGAAACTATTAGACAAATTGTGGGAATGACACCTTGTACTAGATTCATTGAGAAACAGCAGATCAAGTGGTTTGGTCATCTTGTTAGAATGCAGCAAATTCAAATACCATCACAAGTACTACATCTCACAAGATCAGCAACAAGAGCAAGAGGACAGCAGCGGAAAGTATCGATCGACAACATTAAAGACACTCTACGCCTTCATGGCATGACAATAGCCAGTGGCAGCCAGGTGCACTGGATCGCAAATTATTTCTGTCCACAACAATTGAGGATTTTTCTTTCAGTAGAAAAAAATTAAATTCTCACCTGCTCAGTTCATAGCGACAGCACTAGCCTTGAAACCTTAAATTGTCAGTTTGTTTCTTTAATAATTGGTTTATATGTAGTTACATAGTATTTTATTTTTTGTTAACAAAGAAACAGTTAAAAACCCAGCAAAGTGCTTATGCTTTCACTGATTGTCTTGCAGTGTGTTGAAGAACTCAATGGATTCAACCTATGAAGACCGAGGCCCAAAGCCAGTCTACCGTCTAGAGATGTCACTCTTTTATGTGGTCTTCTTCATTGTCTTTCCTTTCTTCTTTGTGAACATCTTCGTTGCCCTTATCATCATCACATTCCAAGAGCAGGGAGAGAATGAACTCATGGATCAGGAGATGGATAAGAATCAGGTACAGTGCCCTTATATTGTCTTCTCCTCCTCTTTGCGTTCACCAGCTATAAACTCCACTGGAAAGTTTTGGCTCTGTGTGTGTGTGTGTGTGTGTGTGTGTGTGCACTCGTGCATGTGTGCGTGCATGCGTGTGCATGTGTATATCTCTCTCTCTCTCTCCTCTTCTGGTCTTTAATCTTGTTCCAGGACTTGAGTATTTAGTGCACATCCATTCTACAGATCTGGCTTATTTTTTAAGCAGACTGTTGGTTCCTCATCTCTCAGGTAGATGCACTATGACTTTACAGAAACCTTTACACAGTTAGTTTAGTTGGTCAGTCAGTTAGTCAGTCAGTCAGTCAGTTAGTCAATCAGTCAGTCACTTAGTTGGGTTATCATCATTGCACTCTGTACTTTACACAGTGATATTCTAGTATCATTAGCATGTGCTACCACAGCTTGCTGGTATGATGGGAGAAAAGAGGGAAGGTGAGAAATGATGGGTAGGAGAGAGAAGAATGAGAGATGTATGGTAGAGATTGTTGAATGGGGACAGGAGAGCAAAACAGAAATGAGTGGCAAAATAAAGAGTTGAGAGTAGAGGTAAAAATAATAGTAGTATAATCAATTAATTCCAGTTCTAGCTATATAGTAACAGGTTAACCCATAATTGCTCCATTCTTGTGCCAGTGAAAGCCATAAAAAATGTCCCTCATTGTCCCTTGTGAAATAATTAACACTGTTAACAGTCTCAGCAAATTCAGTAGCATATACACATATCAAGTGCTGCATAAGGCAGACATCAGAAGTGCCAAGACAAACAGTCCAACACTAGAAATGCAGTTTATCATTGAAAAAACAAAAAAAGTTTAAAAAGAAGCAAACAATAGGATATGTTTTCAAGCTTCAGTATATGCTGCTAGTCTATATTTTTAAAATAGACTAATTAGCATTTGGAGTAACGTGCACAGTACCTCACTTGGGCGGCTTCACTTTCCCAAATTATTTCCTGCTACTTTAGTTAAGCCTAATCTATCTATAGCATTTCAGCTCAAACACCCCCCCCCCCCCTTTCCAATTTTTAATTTAAATAGTAGAAGTCATGTCATGATAAGGAGAAAACTGCAGTAAATTATAACAGTAGGAAAGTTGGAGGGGAAGAGAGGCAAAGGGAGACCAGAAGAAAAGATGCTAGTTATTTTGATGTTATGACATGGAAGACCATCTGTGTCAGAGTTGACTGAAAGTATACAAGACAGAAGGTTGTGGATAGACATGACTACCAACATCACATAACATGGACTTTCTTCTTCTTCTTCACGTTCACTAGCTGTACACTCTGGTGGAAAGTTCTGGTTGCTCGTCCATTACTGAACATTAGTCCTGCTCCAGAACCTGAGTGTTGCGTGTGCATCAGTTTTACAGATCTCATTCTCTTGAATACAGACTGTTGGTTCCTTGCCTCTCCGGCAGATGCACTCCAACTTCAAAGGAAGATCCCCAATTAGTCGACTCTAACGACATGCTTTTGGGGAGGCAGTGGGTCTATTCTTGTTTTCCTCACAATGGGGCCCCGGAACCCACACGGGGGACATGGACTTTAAGAAGAAGTCTAATCAGGTTTGGAATCACCATTGTGTTGGTGGCTAGATACCAGCCTGTGGATAAGAAGGTCATGGATTCATGTTCTGACGGAGTCAGACTTTTTTTTTCAAAAATGATTTTTACTCCCAGGTCGACCCATCCCTGAGTGGGTACCAGGTGCAGTCCTGGGAAGTAAAGCTGACCCGCGTGATGCTGACCACATCACTCACCAGGTGCCGATTGGTCTATAAAATGTAGGTCTAGCCCTATATTCCCAATACGCCTAAAGGCCCCAAGGATAAGGAGACAATACTAGGAAGTAACATCCAAGAGCAGAAGACAAACATGGGTCAGTAACATTATTTGATCCCTGCCACCAACAGAAACAGTGCATTGACTTTGCCATCAATGCCAAGCCCCTGTGTCGGTTCATGCCAAGCAACAAGAACTCCATCAAGTACAGCATCTGGAAACTGGTGCAGTCATCCAAGTTTGAGTACTTCATCATGGTCCTGATCACACTCAACACTGTGGTTCTGATGATGAAGGTAAGTTCCTGGGCTTGTTTGTCGATGTAGGAACATTTGATGATGAAATCATGTCGCTTTCTGGTTCTTTTTCTTCTTTTCTCTGATCTTGGGATGCCTCGTGGTATCAGGGCAGGAAAAGGTCTCTAGAACGGGTGCTTCTGTTCACTTCTTGTACAGTACTTTTCAGTGTCTCCGATATTTCCTCGATCCATTTCTGTGTGGTTTACCTCTGGAATTGTTACTGCCTTATGTGTATAATATTGCTTTCTGTGGTGTCCTGTCTGTTGCCATTCTTGTTACAGGGCCAAACCATTTAATCTGTTGTCTTCCAATAAAGTTGACTACTGGTTCTGTGCTGACTCTCCTCCTGATATTATCGTTCCTAAGTTGATCTTTCCTTGTTACACCTAGCATAATATGTTAACATTTTATTTCTGTCAGGACTATCTTTCTTCTGTCTTCTGAAGGCAGTGTCCATGTTTGACACTGATAGCATTGGTAAGAATATTTTTTTGAATAGTGCTCTCAGTATTTGTGCCATCAGTCCTGAACTTGATTGTATTTATTGTGTCTTTGATATATTTCTTCATTCATTCTTTAATATTCTTTAAAAAATGCTCCATAGATACATTTGTCAGTGAAAAGTCTGGCCAAATTCTGCAGCATTCAGCACCTATTTAGATGGCGCATAGACTGAGGCTTTGCTTGATTATTTGATGAAAAATTATTTACTGGACTCATGAGTGCTAGAACATATACTTTATTCTTTTTTTTTAAACTAAATCTTTGGAGCTTCACTTACTCCAAGATCCTCTGTCACTTTAGTTAAAGTCTCATGAAGAAACATACAATAAACTGTAATCTAGCAGACTCTGTGGCCCAGTAGTTAAACCATTGGCCTATGTCTGAATATTACAGATTTGATTTCAGTCTCAGTCCACAGATAACTTGAATTGTGTGTGCTTGGCTGAATGGTTTATCCAAAGCTGTTTGTAACTTGGTAGCTCTGAGTTTTTATTTTTTATTTTTTTATTTTGACTCGAGTCACTTTCCTTAAACACAGACATCTCTGTAAAAGCTCCCTTCTTTTTCCAAAGAACATTCAGGAAGAATCAGCTTTTTTTATCATTTTCCCTTCCTCTTCTATTCTTCCTCTTTTTCTTCCTGTCTTCTTTTCTTCTTCTTGCATTCTTTTGATGACCTTTTTTTCATCTTCTGCTTATTTTTTTTTCTTCACTGGCTGTAAACTGTGATAACAAGTCTTGGATGGTAATCCATCTCTAAACTTTGACCTTGTGGTGGGACTTGGCTGTTGCTTGCACATCCATTAGACAGATTTGGCTTCTTTTTGTGCAGACTGTTAGTTCCTTGCCTTTCAGGCAGATGCACTGACTTCAAAGGACACGTCAGTCCTTTCACTGACCAGACTGTTGGTTGGTTTGGAACCACAAAGAGGTGTAGACTGGTCTTGTGCTTTTACCAAACTGAGGGGTCTCTGTGGCGAAGCAGTCAAGATGGTCGTCCTGGGTTTGTTTCATGGCGGCATCATTCAGTTGACGAGTGCAATATTTACAGAGATTCCTGAGGATCATCACCGGAGCAACAGATGTAGTGCTTTGTGCAATGCTTTCAGCTGTTCTGTGGAGAGAGACTGGACCATATGGGATAAAAACCCCGTGCAATGAAGTCGATCCTCTTACTTTTACCTCTATGTTTATCAACCCTGACCTTACTTCTACAACAACTGTGTATGCGTGAACATGACAGGCTTCATGTATAGCCTTTGACTGACACAATCCCTCTTATAAACATCTGATGCAGGTTGCCTTTCTCTGATCCACACACGTTCTCTTCATTAAAACAGAGGGGAAGTTGTTCAGCTTAAACGTATTTTAATGCATAGGTATTGTCTGGAGCTTGTAGACATTAGAATACACGCAGGCTACACAAAAGAAAGAATTGTTTTGGGCACTTCGTCCACTGTTATCAGTGTCGCTAAAGTAGTCTCAACTTCTTACTGATCCACACACGTTCTCTTCATTAAAACAGAGGGGAAGTTGTTCAGCTTAAACGTATTTTAAGGCATAGGTATTGTCTGGAGCTTGTAGAAATTAGAATACACACAGGCTACACAAAAGAAAGAATCGTTTTAGGCACTTCGTCCACTGTTATCAGTGTCGCTAAAGTAGTTTCAACTTCTTGCTGCCATGAGTGTCAATCAGTCTGTACACTGCACATGAGATAGTGATACTTCGGGCAATGTGAGTTGTAGATGGGAAGATGTATAACTAGATAATGGAGCTGAAAGGTGAACGTCTGTTTCTCTGGAAAAACTGAAGCCACCCACATCATAATATTTAAAGAAATATGTATTGTCTGGCATTGTGGAAATTAGATAAGAGGACCATATTATCTTGAGCTGTAAACAGGACATACCCCAAATATTTTTAGCTGAAAACGGGACATCCCACTAATATTTTTTAGCTGAAAACTGGACATCCCACTAATATTTTTAGCTGAAATTGTAAGCTGTCTCCTTAAAATTTTTTGCTGAAAACGGAACATCCCACTAATATTTTGGAACATCCAAATTAAGGTCAGTTTAGCTCCTCACCTATGTTGTTTGTTAGATCACAAATGTAAATGGACTAATTACTCGCTCGACAAAATTATTTAAACCCAAGGCATTGTCGCCAAGAAAAAAGAATCAACATGCTCGTTAACTCAGCACTGTAAAGAAAAATCAGGCATTTAAAGTAACTAAAAATTGGGAAATCTACAACCTCTACAGATATAACTATAAGTGCATGTTTCATTTTTTGAGTTTATTCCTAGATTTTTATAAAACGAGACAATTTTTTGCCCCGAAATGTGGGAAAGGGGGGTGGGGGGGGGGAGGGGGGGGGTAAAGATCGGGTGGCCGGGACACATCTAAAGAATTGGAATGTCCCAGTAAACACGGGACGCATGGTCACCCTAAAATTAGATAGCGAACACAGTAGAAAGCACGAAAGATAGAAATATTAGAGACACGCTAGGGATATTAGTTTCCACATCTTTTTTGTACATAGCATTATTCATATTGTATGGAGATCTCTGTGATAAAGTGGTCGGACTATGTACCTCACGCTCTAAAGGTTAATTTCCGGGCCATATCATTCATTTCAGAGACATGTCATTCATGTCACGGACGCGTCATTCATTTCACATACACATCATTCATTTCACATACGCGTCATTCATTTCACAAAAGCGTCAGTCATTTCACAGACGAGTGTCATTTCACAGACGCATCATTGATTTCACGGACACGTCATTCATTTCACAGACGCGTCATTCATTTCATGAGTTGGACTTTTTTACTTTGATCCCTAAGGATCATCACTGTAGTTATCAAAACTGAGACCTGTAACGCACACACTGGACCACTGAGTCGACAGCCAAAGGTGCTACCACAACTACTGACTAAAACAAAAATAACATATTTCAGCTTGGTCAGTTTAAAGAAGAATTCAAAACAAATGCAAAATTATTGGTAACTGGGATTAAAAGGCAGTGGTGAATGTTATTGCATTCAGAATGACTTCATCCTCCCCTTGTGGGATGCCATTTTTTCATTATTTTGAAGCCCCACCCTGGCTGTTGCCTGGGACCGCTCCACGGGTGATCCTCATCCGCATGGTGGCAGTTTGTGTCACTGGGTGTTTATCACTCGGTGTGATGTCCTGGTGGGGTAAAAATCACTCGGTCTTTGCATTCAGTGATTTATAAAGTTTCTTTATCAAAAGTAATAAATTGAAAATGAGTAATTTTTGTTAAATCTTCTTAAAAACCCGGTGTGCATGGTACAATTTTTGTAGTGGTGGCTTTGTTGCTAGGGTGTTGTCTGCTGCAACATAAGCTTTTTGTGTGTGTCAATGATGGCCATGATTTACCAGCCTACAGTGTTTTCCATAAGTCAGACATTTATACTTATTCGTCTTGTTTCTGCTCACTGGCTGTAAACTGTGACGGAAAGTTCTGGTTGTTTGTCCACTTCTGGAGTTTAGTCTTGATCCAGAACCTGAGTTCTGAGTGTACATCTGTTGTACAGGTTTGGCTTGTTTGCGTGAAAACTATTGGTTCTTTGTTCTCAGGCAGATGCACTCCAACTTTGAAGGAAAGATGTTTTTAAATTAATATAAATATATTAATTAAAATTAGAAACAGTTAAATAATAATAAATTAATAATATAAATGTTTTTTAAAATATACAGTTAGGGGATTTACTTCCTAGTTTAGACAAATAAAATAATTTACATTTTCTTCATATTAACTGTAATAAATTGTTGAACTCTATAAGTACAGAAGACCATAATTTAAGGCTGGTGTTTCCTTTATGACAAATACATTTTTGCAGCTGGTAAACACATTTTTACCAGGTTTTTATTTTGTTTTGTCCTAGTCATTATTTTTTTTTTTTTTATTTCCCATTTACAGCCATACATAACATCACCATACTTTAGAGGGGAGACATGGAACAAAACGCAATATAGAAACATTGAACAAAAGATCAAAATGTAGAACTAAATATATTTTAAGTCTGAAGTCCTCTAAAAGTAAGCCTTGAGTTATTGTTGGAAACATATATACTCCATGTACATAGTTGAAAGAGGAGCGGCTGGCCGAACGGTTTGAACGCTGGACCCGGGTTCGAATCCTAAGTAAGGCTAGGGATTTTTTTTTTATGTCGGGGGGGGGGGGGGGGGCAAAAAAAAAAATCCTTACCTGCACAGTCGTGGCGACAGCACAAGCCATGCGGCTGTAAATCCTCACGCTCAAAGACCCAATTGCCTGCACCGCAGACTTGGTAGCATCATCATCAGGTGCCTTGCCGACTGGTGTGGGCAATCATGCCTCTCCCATAATCTGTGATCTCCTGCAGCGTGTATCAGTTCGTGTGCCGACACACCTCCATGCCATGCAACAAGACTGTCAAGAATCTTCTCTTGTTGTCTTCCTCTATCCCTCCTTCCACA